TGTTGGTCTGGAGGCAATGGGCAGAGGTGATCTCGACAGTGATGAGCATCATTTCATAAGACAATCGGCTCAGGTGCGATCTCTGCATGGCCTCCGGGCAAAACGAGGCTATTCTTCTCTATCAAGTGGGGGAAGGAAGCAGCAGCTGCTGGCCAGGGGGATTCGGGGGCTCTGGGGCTCAAGATCCTTAGGTATATCCACCCAAACATCCCCATGCCAGGCCTCAGGATCCCATTCCACAGCACCCCCCTCGATGCCCTGACTTTATAGCACAGGAAAATTGCTGAGGATGACGGGTCTCCTCTGCAGCTCTGCAGCCCTTATGATCACATCGTGGGCCTCGCTGCCAGCATGCTCTGCTTCCTGGCTGCAAAAGTGAGCATTTCCTTACGTTGCCTCAGGAGACTTTCTGGCTTTCATATCATGCCCTGTCAAGGGGGTTCACTTGAGCCTTATGTTCTTTCAGCAAAGTTTCTAAAGCAGGTTTAGAAAAACTAGCCGCCTCCATAATCCTTGTAGCTACAGCTGCCCTCCTATCTTTCAAGTGCCAAAGCTACTCCATAAGCCAAGCTCTCCCCTCCACTTCTATCTTACTCCAGTCTACAGAAGGTAAGAGTCTCATGCTCCAGGACCCAAGGGGTTAGCACCACCCAATGACCAATAGTGGTGAGAAGTCACTGTTGCCTTCTGAATGGTGGATGAGCCATAGTTCTAGATTCCTATCCCCACAGTGTCCCTTCTAGGGCTACTCCCTACTGTTTTAGCTTGCATCCCCATAAAAGCTTGAGCCTAGAACTTGGGTGCAGTTGATTTGGTAGATGAATCCAGGAAATGGGAGAGAGGGAGTGAGGAGAGTGACACAGGGCAGAAGGAAAAGTCAACAAAGTCTATTTTGGGGGCACCTGGGTGGCTCAGTCAGTTAAGCGTCTGCCTTCAGCTCAGGTCATGGTCCTGGGGTCCTGGGATCGAGTCCCGCATCAGGCTCCCTGCTCAGCGGGGAGTCTGCTTCTCCCTCTACCCCTCCTCCCTGCTTATGATCTCTCTTTCTCAAATAAATAAATAAAATCTTAAAAAAAAAAAAGTCTATTTTGGCTCCCATCCCTTATGGGCTGAAGGCATTCGCTTACCTGCACTCCCAGGCTAGGCCTGTGGGGTTGAGAGAGCTCCTGAGGCTTAGGAGAAAGCGACAGGAGACGCTGGAAATGAGGCGCTGACGGTGTCCACGGAGCCATCTACCCTTGCTGTGGCTGAAGTCAGAGGTGGGCTGATCGGATGGAACCAAAAGTTCCAGAACATCTAGTACACCTTTCTTGCCTTCGCGGGGATCAGAAATCTGGGACAATACCAAAGGCCACACGCCATCGGCTCCCTGGGACTCAGGTGCCTGCCTCTGTAGACCTTTGTGCATTCTAGAAGTATGTGGAAAGGGCCTACTAAGTGTTGTTAAGGACTTTTCTACAACGAGATACAGGAAAGAACAGAACGAAAAGCCCTGAGGAGCTTATGTCCTAGTCGGGGGGGCAGAGGAGACCAACAGTAAAATAGCATGCCAAGTGGTTATGGACGTTAGAAAACAAAACGGGCAAGGAGGATCCGTTGTCCCACTTTGGTTGGGTTGGGAAGAAGACGGACTCCTTTAAACAGTCATCAGGGAAAACCTCGCAGAAAAGGTGATATTTAGGCAGACATCTGAAGGAAGTGAGAGTAAGACCAGCCAGATACTGAGGAGGAGGAATGGGGAGCAAGGAGGGAAATAGTGCCCAGGAGCTCGTAGTGCCTTGGAAGTCAGGTGAAGACAGTGTTTCCAGGAGGAGCAGGAGGGGTCAACTGCAAGAAATGCGGCTAATGGGCCAAGACGAAGACAGAGAATTGGCCAAAGTCAATAACATTGGAGGGTGATGGCGTCTGTGAGGAGAGCAGGCTGCGGAGAGTGGGGGGTGAGAAACCCAAACTCGAGGGGGATTAAGAGCAAAGAGGGAGGGGAAGAATTGAGGACAGTGAATACAAGCAACTTTTTGGAGTTTAGTTACAAAAGGAAGCAGAGAAATGGGGCAGTAGCTGGAAAGTCATGTGGGGTCAAGAAAGGCTAGGTTTTCCAAGATGGAAGATCTACCAGGTTCTCTACTTCCATTTCCCTTCATCTTCCCTCTTGCTGTTGACAAATCTGTGACCTTTTTGACCTCCCTCTTCAAGCCCAAAAATATTTTTTGCAAAGCTCTAGATACCCAGAGAGTTCTGAGCTGTAGGAGGTGAAAGCCACAAAGAGTCCTTTGTTCCTGCTTTCTGCTCTGTCACATCCCTCCCTGGGGCAATGAGCCTGGCTGCCTCATCAGGGGGTGAAATTCCACAGCAAAAAGAACAAAGTCAGATATCTCAAAATATCATCCTGCTCCATTTATTTTGGGCCCTTCAGCCACTTGGATGCCTTTCCCTAAACATGGGGCTCCCTGCCTGCCTGCTGCTGGTCTAGCAGGACAGATACTTTACTCTAGAACTATTTATTTTCAAGTAGTCTGGCCAAAGCAATATTCCCTAAACTTTAGGCATTCTTGGATCGCTGTTATGATTTTGGCTATTTTCCCATACCTCATATAGTTTTTACTCCATGTTTTTATATAAAGCACTTTCCTTTACATTTTTTTTTATTGTCTAAAATTTGCCTAACCTAAAACTCACTAAAGTGTATATAATTCGGTGGCTTTTAGAACATTCACATTGTTGTGCCACCATTACCAAACAGTTCCAAAACCTTTTTATTCAGTCTAAAAGGGAACCCTTCACCTGCCAAGCAGTACCTCGCTCCTTCCCACTCCCCCCAGTCCTTGGTAACCACCAATCTGCTTCCTGTCTCTATGGATTTGCCTATTATGGATATTTTATAGAAACAGAATCATGTCAGGGTGCCGTGGCTCAGTCGGTTGAGCGTCTGCCTTCGGCTCAGGTCATGATCCCAGGGCCCTGGGATCGAGCCCTGCATCGGGCTCCCTGCTAGGTGGGGAGTCTGCTTCTCCCTCTGCCCCTCCCCGCCA